TATTTTGTACTATTTGAGCGCGACACTGACAATCGATCACACAAACCGAGAAAAATCTAGTTGAAGGTTGCCGTAGTAAAACCACTGCCGGCTAGAGTGCCCCTTCTAGGCAATATTAGCCAACTTTGCTACCCTTTGTGTATGGTAGTCGCAGATTTCGACATGACATCGTTTATTTTAAAGACGATAGTCTTTCTTGGGGACCTTCGGCGCAAAAATTTTGGTCTGTTTGTCTGTTTGTCCACTCTTAACGGCATCGGGTACTTGAAACGGCCGACCCTATCTGCAGCGCCCACCTATGTTTTTCAAGGTTGAGGGTTTATACTTGTGCAATTGTCAATTAAAAAGCAATTATTGCGCATGCCTGGGTTACCATAACACATATATATTTTGTATGTGAGCCTTCTACTAGAAAAGGCATACATAAGTAATTTTAAGGACCGTAGCGCTTATCACAGTGTGCTGACCATGCGATGCTTGCACAGAAAGACAAATGTTTTCAACGCTTTGCTAAAACAAGACGGTGGTGGCACCTACCCGTCGCCTTCCGTTCTACACCTTATCACCTCTGAGATGGGCACGCGCACCTATTTCAGAGCCACGCGCTCTGTTTTCTTTTCCAGATGGCGCTTATGTCTCACGCGTGACGTGACTTGACGCGCTCGTTTGCCTACGCTGCACGCCCGAGGCACTCTAACGCAGCGCCTTTAGTATACCATTCACCGATTTTCTTGCGCAGAACATCAAATAAATGTCTTGCTCACTCTCTCCACACGCAAGACTATCGTCTTTCGACGACATTTGCTGATTACATACAGATGTGGGGCCAATTTTGTAAATTTATTTGCTGGTACTACGCCTTTTATAAGAATTTTCTTTTTGTGGTTGCAGTATCGATTCGCTGTGAATTTGGTGGTTGGAGCTTATGTTGGCTCAGACCTAATTGTACGAGACAAATTTATGCCAATACGACTAACTGTAGGTGTCAGAAACTAAAGCACAAGTATTACTTGGTCCTGAATTTCTCGCATTTCAATTTGCAAGTATTTGCTGTACTAGTGTAGCTGGTTACAACTCAACAAAGCAGGAGAGGCCTTGGTCAGATGGTCGAAGTGTGGCAGCCAATAGCCTCCGCGGCTAGAAATAGTCATGCTTATGTGCTCTGGTAGTGGCGTCACCTACTGTCCGGCTTATCGCACCATTTTAGAGCGTGCGTTTGTTGGTTCAGGCTTATGTGCAACCACCTGTGATTGGGAAATACCTCTACTTTCTAAACTTGTGTCTGACTAGTTCACTAGTCGTGATGTTCCATGCTCGCATGCTTTCCCGTGCGTGTCCAGAACACACTGTCTCACTACAATTATTGCTCCAGACGACCGATTTTCTTGTACTTTGTGGGTTGTGGAGCAGTGGTAGTACCGCTATGGAGCATCTATACTCAAGACAAAAAGCTAGAGAGAGAAAAAATAACTGGGGGGTTATTTGGTTAGCATACTAGCAAAGAATGGTGAAAGAATTGAACAAACTAACAAGACAGAGCTGTGCGGGATTGGTCGAGGCTAGTTTAGGGAGCCTTCGTCTGCGCGGGTCTCCACGGATGCGCGAGCACATGAAGGCTCCCTAGGCTAGTCTGACAGTCAAGACGTGAGAAGTGCCATGGAATGAATGTGTGTAGAACAGGCTCAGGCCCTCGTCTATTGGTATAATGGACACAGATCAGTCTCGGGATTACTGGGATGGGATCGAAACGTAAGCGCTTGAGCCTGGGAAATCGCCTGTTTCGTGCCTGGCTTTCCCAAATCTAGTGGCGTTTATTTGGGAAAATCACTAGGGCACAACTTGCGATGCCACCTAGCGTCCATTAACACAAATAGTTGAAAAGGTCACCCAGATCTTCACTCTCAAGCTTTGAAAAACAATGCCTGCCAATACTGATGTTCAGATATAATAATTTTGCATTGATCACTGCGTAGAAAGCGTTTCTGAATTTTCTCAGCTCGCCTTTTGGCTGTTTGCTCCTCCTCATTCTTTTGTTCAATTTCTCTGTCGTTTCTATGCTGGAACGCTTACAAAAAACCGCCCCTGAAAGCTCCGTTTTTGCAATGACCATACGAAATAAAAAAGGTCCTGAATCAGTGCAGCAACTGCCATATCTAAACCATCAGCAACGCATCTTGAATGAGGTATCTAGTGTAGCTGTGCTCTTCTCCAACACTTCCCTCCACACACTGTAGCCCACAGGCGGCTCCCTCCAGATTGCACGTGGTGCGTCTCTAAACAAATATTTGGACAAGATCACCTTGAATGCAGCGATTGATGCATTTTTGATTCCACCCTGCACCAGAGCATTATTTAACAATTTTGTTTCTGTCGGTGCAGAGCATAGGTCACAAAAAATTGTAGAGGGGACTCAGATCCACGCATGAAATATATTTTGCGCTTGGGGCTCACCTGGGCTCACACTTTCAAAAATTTTCTTCAACTAGACTGACTTGGACTCAAACTTGCCAAACTATTACTCAGCCGGGCTAACTCAAACTCGTGGCATGGTCTTAAGTCTAAGTCCGAGTAAGTCGACTCGTGAGTCTGTTAGTCTCGATTGGCTTTTTCGACCATGGTGTCAATGCCCTGTAACACCAATATCTTACGCAATCAATGCTTTTCTTTGTGCCTTTTGGTACAGTACCTTGGAATACGAGTTATCAGTGGCTGCGAACCAGTAAGGACATTTCTCTTAGGATATATTCATCAAGAACTTTCCTGGAAGAGTCTCAACGAGAAGGGGGTAGTTCAAGGCACCCCCTACGCCATTCACGCTTCTCATCAATAAATATTGAAATTGTGTATGAACAACACAGCTTTGCAATACCTCTTAGTAGATGTGTGCATATACCTGAATTTAGGTAAGGCTTTAAGTAATGCTGAAGATGAGTAGATAGGACCATAGGTCGGCAAAAACTAAAACTCGCTCAAGAAATATATCTTGCCCCTTGGTTTCACACGGGCTCGAACTCTCCAAACTATTACTCACTCGGACCCACGGCTCAATACGAGTCTGAGTGAGTTGCCAACATATGGTGCAGAGTGTAATTGATATCGTGAGTGCATAGGATCATAATATATAGACACTTTCACAATATGTTTGCTTCTAAGGCACCCATTATTATTCATGTTAGCATGTTGCTTTACTAATGCCTTCTTTAACCTTTTCAACTGAAGCATGTTGTAATTTGCATTATTTTGCGGCAGGGAGTGCTCAGAAATGTGGCCCTTGCCGGTGTGCCGATTGCATGCATGTTTGTAGGCACCGTCTACCAAGAAGTGATGCTGTCTCGATCGTGGCTTTGTCGATGAAAAGCTGTCTCTGATTTGGAGATCTGATCTTTTGTCAAGGTCACTTCTGATTTCATGCTGTCACACTTCGGCGTTGCCTGGATAGGAATGCTTGACAGTCGCTGTTGCCTGTATGTAGCAACAGAAGTGTTGTGCTGCGAAGTACGAAGCCATAGACATCCAATCTCCATCGCGGAGGAAAGAAACCAGTACGCATTGCGATAAAAAGAAAGAAAAGCAATACGCCAACCATGCACATACAAAGCTTAGCCTGCCCTCATTTCGCGGATAGGGCTTCCAAAGCTTCTACAGTATACATTTTACCTTTTTTCTGGCGATGAAACTGTTCGCCATTGCTGAATGTACAGTGTTGTGCGGTACATGATAGTCGGGAGCATGAATGTAAGACTCGAAGCAGTCACCACTTGAAACATCTACCGTATCAGTAGTGATTTCTAAGCACAATTTTTCATTCTGATAATTTTCTCTGTGAGCTAAGTATGGAAAAGAGCATTGGAATGATTGGGGGAGCTAGGCCTGTGTGAACGATGTGTTTAGTACACATCAAGATAGCAACGCATACCTCTGAGCCTTTACATTGGTGGCAGTGAAGTGAAAGCCAAAGCTTAAGGGTCTCCCATCTTTTTATTCTTCAACCACGCTATAATACATATGTTGACACAATTCCAACCCGACATAGTGCGTGTATAGGGTATTTTTGACAAAGAATTTCGAACATTGGCATGGCTCTGTGGCAGAATAATGGACTACCACAAAGAGATGATTGATTGATTTGTAGGGTTTAACGTCCCAAAACCACCATATGATTATGAGAGACGCCGTAGTGGAAGGCTCCGGAAATTTTGACCACCTGGGGTTCTTTAACGTGCACCCAAATCTGAGCACACGGGCCTCGACATTCCACAAAGAGGACCCAGGCTGGAACCTTGTTGAATCCTGGGTATTCTTTTTTATTCCGATAATAATAATGTATATTAATAAATATTGTTGGAGTTGAACATCCCGAAACCTCCATGCGATTATGAGAGTCGCCGTAGTGGAGGGCTCCGGAAAGTTCGACCATGATGTTCTTTAACGTGCACTTCAATCTAAGCGCATGGGCATTTTCACCTCCATTGAAAATGCGGCTGCCACGGCAGAGATTCGATCCCGCGATATACGGGTCAGCAGCCGAGTGCCTTAGCCATTCGACCACAGTGGCGGGTGTTTTCCTATTTCGAGCAATAGCTGACACCGGCGAACAACCACAGTGCCAAACGACCCTTGTTATGATCTCGCATAATAGCTTTCGGTGCAAAAACCCAGTTTTATCAGTCAAAGCCATGGTGCTATTATTCACTACGACAGAGTTGGTTTGAACAGCATCACCTTCACGGTGAATGCTTTGACTTTGTAACATGTGATAACATGCAAGAATTATGATGGGATAATTTCATTTATTTTCAAGCTGTAGCATGTAGTGAAAGTGTTGCCACAAGAGCATGCACTAAGCAACATAACACATAATGATACTGAAGCACCTTGGTGGGCTATGATATTCGAAGAAGCAGAGTACAAAAAAGTGAAAAACACACACATAAAAAGGTGTTGCGCTAGTTGAATAAGCGCGACAGACGAGGACATTGTAGAAAAAAAAAAACAAGCGCTGTGTTCTTGTCGGTTTTATTCTGATTTCTTGCCTGTCGCACTGGTTCACAGTTTATGCATAGCGCTACAACAACTCTGCGTGACGCCCTCTTCAGGAAGTGTGGTATTCATGATTATGACAACAGCGGTGAATCACATCAGCGTCGAGTGGTGGACACCGAGTCACTGTTCCAATAACGACGCACGTAATACACGTAAACGGGTTGGGCGCCTCCGAGTCCTCTCTTTCATCTACACAAGTCTCCTCATTCCCCCAGTCCGTAAGGCATGTCCCCATCGTCGTCCCTGTCGGGCTGATCGAAGTCGTGCGTCTTGACGTCCAGGTCTTCTCCGTACTGAATGGCGTTGTCGATGACGAGCAGAAGGTCCCCGATGCTGTCCTCCATTTTGATGTTGAGCGGCATGAACTTGACGAGGCTGTACTCTTCTACGACCCTGGCGATGGCCTCCGAGAGCCGCGAGTGTGTGTCGTCCAGGCGGTCGTCTTCCACGAGCAAGCTGGAGTCGGGTTCCAGGAAGCGGCCGATTTTGCGGCGCCCCGCCTTGTTCAGGAGGTCCATCTTGGTGATGACGTTGACGTGCGGTATCTCGAAGTTCACCATGGCCGCGAGCGCCGAGAGGACGCCCGAGAAGAACTTGGACGTGTCGACCAGGAACTGCGAGTCTATCAGGAAGACGCCGCACACGCGGAACTCCCAGGCCTCCAGGGTCCGCACGAGCCGCTTCATGACGTCGAGGTGAGTGTAGAGTTCGATCTGCCCCGGACAGTCGAAGACGAAGTAGTCGTCGCTGTCTTCGCCGAGTTGCTCTTCCAAGCCACTCCACGTTCTCGCTCAGATACTCGAAGCAGAACACGAGCGCGCCGTTGGGGCCGAACGCCAGCTCCTCGTCTTCCATGACGTCGTCGACCTGTATCAAGGGAGCGCACGTCGAAGGCGACGTTGTAGTCGAAGTATTCGGCAGCCGGGTCGAGGTTCACGACGTGAACCGTGCGACCCACGGCCTCGCAGTGCTTGGCGATGGTGCTGCAGTAGGTGCTCTTGCCGCTTCCCGCGGGACCCATGACGAGTTGAGCGTACCTCATCTCGTCGGAAAAGAAGCTCGGATGCTTTTACTGCGCGACTCGATCAAACCTGCAGCTCGAACATAAATATCGACGAGGTAACGCTAAGCTGCGCGGTGCTAACGTACCGCCATGAAGCTTCTCAATCACATTTGCAATGCAACTTAACACGCCGGGCGCCGCCATATTGTAAACTAAGGCTTGCCAGACGTTCTTTAACATGGCTGCTAAGGTTATCGAAAAAGTAACACTGCCTTGAATCAATGAGGTTTTCACATACATTATTCAAAAGTATAGTTGTGGTTAAAATAATAATTTGTAGTAAAGTGTGGCGGATTTTTTTGTTTTCATCGATCCTTTAATCTACAAAACTGCGCAAGCTGTGAGCTGTCAGCATCTGCAACTTCAGTTCCGGTTCTCTTGTGTCAAGTGCACCGTGAAGATTTGGAAAGTACGTCAGAACTTCACGAAATGAGATCTAACAAGTGTTCTGCCGACTAAAAGAATGGCGCGGTTGATGGAGCAGGTCTGTATAACGATGTTGGATGTTTTGCTTCCGCCGTGAAGGGAGGCAGGTCCCAAGCACAACGTGACAGCTGCACCCGTTGAAAACCCAAGCCTGCATCGGAAGTCACCAAACGTGAGCGTACTTATTTCGTCCTCAATCACCAGATCCCTTTGCAATCACCGAATGTGAGCTAGCGCCAGAAATTCAATACAGACCTGGCCAATTGTCCTTTGCCCGTTCGTGAGAGCTGCAGAAATTTTCATTATGAATACCAACCAACTCAGCCTGCATCCTCAATGACGACCTTCTTTCAATGACAATATTCATAGCTTCATATTGTTTTAATGTCTATATTTTGTTTTCCTTTTTGTATATTTCTTAACTATTTCACTGCAAACTCGTCTAGTCAAAATCACATTACTTACGAAGATTGCTACTGTTGCTACAAACAATGTATTATCATAATCTGCCTTAATTAGGAAGTCTTCAACTATGGTATCTCTTTTATACTTAACACATTCAATATTCCTGTATTTCTATCAATATAATTCCGATTTGCGCGACTCGCTGGTCGTAAATTTAGGAAAGGGGTGGGAAAAATACACTACACAATGAAAAATTAATTTCAATAACTTTTAAATGTCTGTAAAAAATTTTCTCGGGCTATTTCATCATGAAATAGTTCACTCCGGACTAGGACGAATTTCTCGAGACATAATAGTCTAAGCGGCTTTTCTTTCCGAGAAATCCGTACATGGCTTTCCTTGGGACATCGTGCTACAGACGGGTGGTTGTTCGTTTTTCCTAATTAGCGCAAGTTGACTATGGACGCTGAAGTTGAAATAGATATTTTTTTTGTTAACAGACCTATTTTACACATTTTATTACGCTTGGACTGTGAGTGTAATGCAGTGCTGTATGAAATACCTATGGGAAGCTTATATCTCTCTGGTACAAGTCGATTAAGCGCAGTTTCACTCCTAAAATGACAAAAATAATTAGGAGGAGCTTGATTCGGTGCTCGGCTGCTAACCTGAAGGTCGCGGGTTCGATAACAGCTGCGGTGGTCGCATCTTTATGAAGGCGGAACTGTAGATGCCCGTGTTTCGGGAGCCCTTCACTACGGCGTCTCTCGTAGTCATATCATGGTTTCGGGACGTAAAACCTGGTACATTAAGATTATTGGGAGGAGCTTTATATGGCGTGAGTTGGTGTAATTCGTATGTTACTCAACTTTCGCGCTCGTATGTTGTGTCACAAGCTGTCGGCAGCGTTGTGGAAGGTACGGGCGCTCTCAGCCAATCATGGCAGAGCGCACTTTATAAGCGTGTCCAACGCGCATGTCTCGTTCGTTAACTTAACAGGTGGCGCCATCTGTGTGGACGTAGATGTACTATACAAATTATTTTTTGATTTTCTTAGCAGATAGCGTTTGGTACCTTTTTTAAAAATCTGTCTTGCTTATTTCTAGACGGGACGACCACTTGCCGAGCCATTTATTCTGTTTATTATTACCGTCACCGGTTCCTCCGAGTTCTTGTCCCGGTCGATTTTTGTTTGTTTTTGCGACGTGACTTTAGTAATTAAACCGTTAAACGTACGAATGATCGCTTTATTTTCACATCATGAGCGTCCACTTTCTTGATTCCTTGTCGTAATGGCAGAGTTAACTGTGTTTATATTTGGGCTGTACGCACACATGTAATGATTGACGTGAGCCCATTACAAAAGTTAGCAAGTAATGGTCATCACAACTTGAAACTGCTCATTTGGCGCAGGTGGGTACTCTGGACCATGTGCGTCGCAGCTATGAGACGGGAGGAGGAGGAGAAAAACACTCCGGACAATATGAGAAGAGCTTTCCGAGAGCATTTCTTGTACTTCAAGCCAAACTTTTTCATCATCTTGTGCATCGTCGCCGTGAACACAGTCGGTGGCGTCTCGTCGTCTTTGAAACGCTGCACCACCTTGGCGATAGTTGTTGGTGGTGGTAACAACTTTATTAATAACTCCGGCAAATTCGTGGCCTGGGCCTAGGCCGCCCCCGAGGAGGACCGGAGACCCTGTCTCCTCGCTTACCCCGCCGCGGTGGTTTAGTGGCTAAGGTACTCGGCTGCTGACCCGCAGGTCGCGGGATCGAATCACAGCTGCGGCGGCTGCATTTCCGATGGAGGCGGAAATGGTGTAGGCCGTGTGCTCAGATTTGGGTACACGTTAAAGAACCATAGGTGGTCTAAATTTCCGGAGCCTTTTACTACAGCGTCTCTCATAATCATGTGGTGGTTTTGGGACGTTAAACCCCACACATCAATTGTCTCCTAGCCGCCTCGCGGGCTTGCTGGATGGCCCACAGTTGATCCTGGAGGTTAGAGTTGCGCAGCGCCGCCGTCCACCGCGCCGCAGCCTCATCTGGGGAGACTGCATTTTCTTCTGCTAAAACTACACATTCCCAGAGAATGTGAAGTGATACGTGAGTTCAGCCGCTCAATTTGCAAGTATAATCTGGATAGACATGTGGGTGCATTCTGTTAAAACGAATAGGGTTGAGGAAAGTCTGGGTATCAATTGCCTCCAATCTACCGCTTCGGATCTGTCGAGTTTGGGGTTTGGTGATGGATGAAAAATACGCCTAGATTTGTTTAATAAATGTTCGTAATTTCGCAGTATTTGGTCATTCTCTCCCTCTCTGTCCAGCCCTCCGCGGGATGCCCATCCCCCAGAGAGGACGTTTCTATGCTGGCGTGGAACGTGAGCCCTACCAAAGGATAGGGGGGGGGGGGGGGGGACGGGAGCTCTATCTTTGGTTGCACTACCAACAGCTTGTAAGAGCGAGGATAATCTTTTTTTTAGGTGCGGAGCATTTCATGCCCATGGGCATGTCACGCGTCCGGCGTCCGTACTCGCACTACGCATGCGCAACTCTCCTACTGCCTCTCCAACAGCTGCGTCTATAACTAGGGAGTTTTAGTGCTGGGTACGCAATCTCTTGGGGCGTTGCGGGCTTGGGAGAGCGCGGCGTTGCGTGCCCAACCGGAATGCCTTTTAGTTGGCGCCACGGTGGGACGCACGCAAACGCAAGCCGCGCGAAGTTCACACGCGCTCGCAGAGCCATAGCGTCTTGTCGCGTAAGTAGTATATAAGTCTATTTATGATTTAAAATTTTACATTAAACATACATAGTGATCAGGACACTTATTCATTGTGTACAGTATTCTGGTATACGCAAAAAAGTGAAAAAATACAAGGTTACCAAAACGGCAGTGTCGACATCTTGTGAAACTTCGTGCAACTGCAGTCATGAACATGTTAGCTTACGCGTGATGTTTTTGAGGTGAAAATGAATAAAAAGGTTACTCATGTGTAATATTGTCGCTGCGCAGTTTTTGCACCAGATGTACAATGCACAATGTTTCTGCGATAACAAAGTTGTGGTTGTCTGTTTCACTATGGACGCGCTAGATGGCGCCACCTATTCAGCTGGTCGGGGGCTTGCATATGCCTTTTAGTTTCTATGTTCCAGGCCATTCTAGCTTTGGAAATCAGGCTGAAACCGTCTAATCGCTAAAAGGGCTCGCACTTTGGCTTATTTTAACTCGACGGCTAGAGTATCCGCAGTGCGGATACCGTGAGTTCTTGCGAAGGTGGACCGCATGGCCCCATCGCCCCAGCGATCTTGCGACGCATCTGTTTGGGGTTTCGCGCATGCGCAATACCGCCGCCCCAACGTCCTGCGTACGCAAGCCGCTTGGGTACCCAGCACTAAAACTCCCTACTCTCTCCACCTCTCTTCTACCACCATCTTGCGCTCACTCCCCCAGTGCGTATGCGACTCCCCCTCCCCTTTCTCTCCTCTCCTAAGCTCTCCCTCTCCTGACTCGCAACGCCGACGCAGGGAGTGTCCGCCGCGGAAAAGAATTTGGTCAGTCCTGTAAATACAACCTAGCCTATGTAAACCAACGGTCCCCCCCCCCCCCCCTCGAACCAGGAGGTGTTCTACTGCCCGATTTCATTTCCCTGGCCTGCGCAATGAGCCCCGGCTGTGCAATAGCGCACTGCGGGAGGATATGTAAGGTTGGGTTTGAAACTTAGGCGTCTCGCAGACCGAGCAGTACGCCGGGCAGCATTGCGCCGAGTACGCAAAGCAAAAGCGTAGCCTTCCCCCTCCCGCCCTTTACCGAAGAAGTTCTGGCTACGCCGCTGCCGCACAGGGCCCAAAATATTACGACACATCGTGGCACATACGAAAATTTGGCATATCAAAACATTACGACACATCGTGGCACATACGAAAATATGGCATATCAAAATACGTTTAATAAACGCCTTCGGCGTCATACGTAAAACAGCGTCGCGGAAAGCGACAAAGGCAACCGGTGCCTCCTCGCATTCACCGTGGCCTCCGAGATCGGGTGCTGTCTGAAAAAGGCACAAGGCGTAGCCATCCTCCTCCCGCCCTTTACCGAAGAAGTTCTGGCTACGTCCCTGCCGCACAGGGCCCGCAATATTGCGACGCATACGTGGCACATACGAAAACATGGCATATCGAAATACGTTTGCGTCATACGTAAAACTGCGTCGCGCAAAGCGACAAAGGCAACCGGTGCCTCCTCGCATTCGCCATGGCCTCCGAGATCAAGTGCTGTCTGAAAAAGGCGCAGGGCCACTCCC